GGTCGACGTTCTGAATGAATTCATGGCGCCAGGGGTCTGGGCTTAGGGGGGGTGGATCTCGTGGCTGGGGTGTAGAGATTTGATATCTCTTCGACATGCCAGTCCAGCTTTCCAGTGCTCACGATGTGAGAGCTTTCTGCTCTTTGCATGCGTTACCAACCACCCCGTGGTCTTGGTTCGTCAGTTTTGAGGAGACACCTCCCCGCGTCTCCTCCTCCTCGTCCCCCTCCCCCCTCCTCCCACGTTGGTACATCCACCCGCCGCGCAAATTTAGGTACCCCCTCACGTTTCGTGGCCCCGTAGGGAGCTCCACCCAAGGCCCAACCGGTGCCGCCCGCACGCGTCCCCGCCACCGATCTCGGCACGCCCCTCACACGTTTTGTGGCCCCATTGGGACCTCCACCCAAGGCCCCAGTGATGCCGTCCGCAAGCGTCCCCGCCACAAATGCCAGCACACCCTTCACATGTTTCGTTGCACCAGTGAGAGCTCCACCCAAGGCCCAAATGGTATTGTTCGCATGCGTCCCCGCCACCCATGTCAGCACACACCCCTCGCACGGTTCGTGGCCCCATCAATGGTTCCGTCCACACGCGTCCCCGTCACTCATTTCGACACGCCCCTCGAACGTTTCGTGGCCCTGGGGCAACCGAGGCGCCAACGGTGCCGCCCGCATGCGTCCCCGCCACACATTTCGGCATACCCCTCACGCGTTTCGTGGCTCCATGGGGAGCTCCACCAGAGGTCCAAACAGTGCCGCCCGCATGCGTCCCCGCCACCCATGTCGGCACACTATTTGCACGTTTCGTGGCCCCATAGGTAGCTCCAACGAAGGTCCCAGTGGCGCCGCCCCGCCCGCATGCGTGCCCGCCACCAATTTCGGCACACCGCTCACGCCCTTTGTGGCTCCGTGCGTAGCTCCACCCGAGGCCCACATGGTGCCGCCCGCATGCGTCCCCGCCACCAACTTCGGTACACCCCTTACACGTTTTGTGGCCCCGTTGGGAGCTCCACTTAAGGCCCGTATGGGGCCGTCCGCATTCGTCCCCGCCACACACTGGGGTTTGGCACATCTCTCACATGGTTTGTGGCCCCAGTGGGAGCTCCACCGAAGGCCTAACCGGTGCGTCCCCGCCACACATTTCCGCACGCCCCTGACACGTTGCGTGGCCCCATAGGGAGCTCCATCCAAGGCCAAAATGGTGCTGTTCGCATGCGTCCCCGCTGCCCATTTTGGTACACCCCTCGCAGGTTCCGTGGCCCCATCAGCAGTTCAGTCCGCATGCGTCCCCGCCACTCATTCCGACACGCCTCGCGCATGTTTCGTTGCCCCACACGGTGGCTCCACCCAGGACGCCAATGGTGCCGCCCACATGCATCCCTGCCACTTCTTCCGGCACACCCCTCACACGTTCCGTGGCCCCATAGGGAGCTCCACCCAGGGCCCCTCGTGGTGCCGTCCGCATGCGTCCCCGCCACCCATGTCGGCACACCCCGCGCGTTTCGCGGCCCCTCGAGGAGCTTCGCCGAAGGCTTTCGCGGCACTCCCCGCACGCGTGCCCGCCACCCATTTTAGCACATCCCTCTCACGTTTCGTGGCCCCATTCGGCACTCCACCGAAGGCTCTCATAGCGACGTGCGCATGCGTTTTGTTGGTTGTTTTGTTTTGTATTTTGTTCCGTTCCGGCACACCACTCACACGGTTCATGGCCCCACAGGGAGCTCCACCCAATGTCCCAGCGCCCCCGCCCGTCCCCTCAGATGTTTCCCGCGCTTCGTGGCCCCACAGACAGCTCCACCCAAGGCCCCATGAGGAGAGTCACTTGAGGCGATTTTCACCACGACGGTACTCACACCTGCATCTGGTTGGGTCTGAAGCATCGCATGTTGCAATCTTCGTGCGTCCGCAAACGTTGTGGCTGAACATTTCAAATGTTGCGCTGGGATCACATCCGCATTTCACGTGTATCTTTCCCCAATCAGAGCTTGCCTCTGTAGGGGTCCTAGCGGATTCATATGGTTAGGTTAGGTTTGCCGCCGATTTTCGCCGCACGCCCGGGTGCCCGGGTGCCCGGGTCGACGCCCCAGCACCGCGGAAGGGCGTTGACGAGGCCTTGAACGAGCTCGTCTTGGACCGGGCATGCGTTCGAGCGCATCGGCCCAGCGTGATGCGAGAGGCTTACGTGGCGCAAGATTGTGCAGTCGAGGCGGTCTAGTCCTTGACTGGGAAATTGCAGCGCCATAGCTCCATCGCGCATGGCCTTAGTCAAGAGATTGCGCGGGCATCTCAAGAGGAACCCCTGCTTGATTTCAGGGTTCTTTCCGCCGTCGACGCCGATTGGGCAAAATGTCCGATCGCACGCATGAGTGCGACGGGCATCGTAGCTGCGCTCGGAGCATGTGCTCTCAATGCGCAATCAACACTGCAGTCCACTGTAGCATTGATTAGCGGGGGGCAGATTATTACGGCATCTTGACAGTTGGAAGGACTGGCCTTGTGATCAAGGCCATATGGGAGGATTTCGGGTTCTCGTTTGGTGTGCATGTTCCGATCCAAGGGAATGGGGGGCTTTCTGTTTCGGTCGCCTCGGATGCATCCGCGGCTCGCGCGTTTGGGCAATGGCAGGGCTCATGTATGCAAACTCACGTAATGATAAGTTTTTTTTGTTCCCTCCCTAGGCTCTGCCCAGAAGGGTTCTTACTCTCTTGGCTTAAAGGGGCCGGGCAGTGTAATGCGCCCCGGGCGGTTCCTCCAGGATCCGCCCCGCGGTTCCCCCAGTTACGCCCCCTGGGTTCACCCAGCTTAGCTAAGCTAAGCTAAGCTTAGCTTAGCTTAGCTTAGCTTACCTCATCTTAGCTTAGCTTAGCTTAGCCTAACCTAGCTTACCTCATCTTAGCTTAGCTTAGCTTAGCCTAACCTAGCTTAGCTCAGCTTAGCTTAGCTTAGCATAGCTTAGCTTACCTTAGCTTAGCGCAGCGCAGCACAGCGCAGCACCGCATAGCATAGCACAGCATAGCATAGCATAGCGCAGCGCAGCATAGCATAGCAGTGCGCAGCTTAGCATATCATAGCATAGCCTAGCATAGCACAGCATAGCGCAGCGTGGCATAGCTTAGCGCAGCACAGCATAGCATAACATAGCATATCATAGCACAGCATAGCATAGCATAGCCTAGCATAACACAGCGCAGTCGAGCGTACCCTAGCATAGCATAGCGCAGCATAGCGCAGCATAGCGCAGCATACCATAGCATAGCATAGCGCAGCATAGCATAGCATAGCATAGCATAGCATAGCATATAATAACAGCAACGCAAACTGTAGATGTAGCTGTAGATGTAGATGTAGATGTAGGTGTAGATGCGAACTTGTAGATGTAGATGGATATGTAGGTGTAGGTGCAGGTGTAACTGTGGATGTAGGTGTAGATGTATCTGTAGATGTAGATGTAGGTGTAGATGTAGCTGCATATGTAGATGTATATGTCAGTCTCGCTGTTGATGTTGATGTAGATGTAGATGCAGGTGTAGATGTAACTGTAGCTGTCGGTGTAGATGTAGATGTTGCTTTCCTAAATGCTCCAACTCCTAGGCAGGGTCGCACTGGGATAATTTTGTTTTGTTTTGTGGATTCAGGATACGTCCTGGGTCGCTTGCTTGCGGTGATCCCTGTCAATAGTAGCGTTGATGTCGCGGACCTCTTCGCAAAGTGTATCTCGCACCCGACGACCTCTTAGGCACCTCGAGCCAGGGGGTTTCGTTATCCGTGCTTCCTGGATTAAGGCGCGTCGGGCGCTGTAGTGAAATAACATCGTACGAGCTAGCTTTTGGGAAGGTTCGTCAATTCATGTTGATTCGTCGTAGGAGATATGTGGGAAATCCAATTCCAGCTTTCTTTTCCTCACGGTGTCAAGCCATTCCGTTTGTTGCCGTATGCGCGCATCATAGGTTGATCGTTGTTTGCGTCTGCGAGCATGATGGCTTATTTTTTCAGGCATCGCGCTAGAACAAAACAAACATCTCCTGGCGAAGAGCCCAACCATGTGCAGCCGTGTGTAACGCAATTGTGTGTATCGTCCTCCATGAACCTCTTTCTGGGGCCACGATGCGTATGACGGGTGTGCCAAAATCGGCACAGGAACGCCATGTGGACGCTGCAACTGGAGCCGTCGGTGCAGCCCCATGTGAGGTTACGAAACGTGTGAGGGGTGCGCCGACATGTAGGTTGGAACCACGTACGGGCGTTGCCATTAGGGCCTTTGGAGGCCACGAAACGTGCGAGGGGTGCGCCGAAATCAAGGGTGGAACTGTGTGCGGAACCTGCCACTGGTGCCCTGGGTGGAACACTATATGGGGCCACGAAACTTGTAAGGGGTGCGCCGAAATAGAGGTGGAACTGCATGCGGACCTTGCCACGGGGCCTTCGGCGGAACACCCTCAGGGGCCACGAAACGTGTGAAGGGTGCGCCGAAGTGGAGGTGGAACTGCATGCGGACCCTGCCAGTGGGGCCTTCGGCGGAGCACCCTATGGGGCCGCGGAACGTGCGATGCGCCGAAATGGGGGGGGGGGGAATTGTATGCCGACCCTGCCACTGGGGCCTTCGCCGGAACACCTTATGGGGCCACGAAGCGTGCGAGGGGTGCGCCGACATGGGGGTGGAACTGCATGCGGACCCTGCCACTGCGGCCTTGGGTGGAGCACCCGATGGGGCCACGAAGCGTGTGAGGGGTGCGCCGAGGAGGGGGAGGAGCGCGGGTGGTGCGGTGATGTGAGACGCGGGGCGCTGTCTCGTCACAGCGAGGACCCAACACCACAGGATGGTCGGGAACAGAAAGGGTCTGCACTTCACGCGCATACTACTCCTCAACGCAGCCGTGACTTCCCTTTGGCTTCCGTGGTCTCCCTCTCTGCCTTGATGCGGCCCCGTGGCGCCCCGTGGGCCGCGGGCGTGCCTCTCCGGCCGTGGTCTGCGAGCCCCCCGTGTCCGGCGGGCACCCCCAG